TGAATTTCAACAAGGGGGTGTTCCATTTTTGAAACTCATTGAACCACCAGAGGAAAGAGTGCTGCTTCTGAGTGTAGGGTCATAGCATCTCATTTCACAGAAATTGTGCAAAAATTATCAAGAGCTGTAGGCATCTAGCACAGCCTTTTAGCTGAATCTCAAATGTCAATACCCAGCCCCTACTTTCTTACAGGAGAACATCTCCATTGCAACCTGAATTGCAGCATTGTTGCCTTCCTCTATACAACTATGAATTCTAGGATAGTTTTGATTTCAAAGAGAGAAGGCATATTGCTACACAGGTATAGGTAATGGAGTATTCTCTCTGTGCTAACCTGCCTTTATTAGCCTGCTTACTTGCTAATTAAGCAAATTTTTTCAGGTTTGAAAAGATTTTAATGTTCAAAGGTCTTCAATACCATGCGTCTCAGCTGGTCTCAGGATGTAACTTATAGGAGAGTGTAGCAGCTGGAGTTTGACATTACCAGAACCAGTGGGCTTGTCACTCTCTGACCAGTCACGTTTCCTGTCCTTCTAGGTGAGAATGTGCACTAGTGGTTTAATATTTCGACTGCGTCAGACCAACACGGCTACCTACCTACTCTTGCTTCGAACATAGCCGAATTATTTTTAACATCTCTTGCAAGCCTGAGCTCATTCTGAGCTTTGGCCCGCCTGACATTCACCCTGCAACTGTCATTCTAACACACCCTAATGTAATGAAGAGACCGAGCAGAGAATATAAGAAATTTGGGGTCATAGGCAACTTTGGATGAAACCCTTGCAGCAACCCAAGGAGCAGTATGGAGCTTCTGCCTCATCCCACTCCATATTCTCTCTATGCTTCTAAACTGGCCACTTGGTTAGTCAGAGAAACTATTGTTGGTAACTATATTCCTGCAGAAGGGACGCGGGTGGCGCTGTGGGTAATACCTCAGTGCCTAGGACTTGCCGATCGCATGATCGGCGGTTCGAATCCCCGCGGCGGGGTGAGCTCCCGTCGTTCGGTCCCAGCTCCTGCCCACCTAGCAGTTCGAAAGCACCCCTAAGTGCAAGTAGATAAATAGGTACCGCTTTATAGTGGGAAGGTAAACGGCGTTTCCGTGTGCTGCTCTGGCTCACCGGAGCAGCTTTGTCACGCTGGCCACGTGACCCGGAAGTGTCTTCGGACAGCGCTGGCTCCCGGCCTCTTAAGCGAGATGAGTGCGCAACCCCAGAGTCGGTCACGACTGGCCCGTACGGGCAGGGGTACCTTTACCTTTATATTCCTGCAGAGCATGTGTGAATATATTGCATGACTGAGAGCTCTTCGTTAAATAAAATTAATACATGTCTCTGTGCACACCTCCAATCTTGGGTTGCAGCTAGATGTTCCTGCCACTGCCTGTAGCTGTGAACACCCAGAGCCTGTTGTTCTGTGTGCTGTGGCTGACTTTGCTGTTTATAGATTCAGGTAGGTAGCCGTGTTGGTCTGACGCAGTCGAAATATTAAAAAATAAATTAAAAAATTGTCCAGTAGCACCTTAAAGGTAAAGGTACCCCTGCCCGTACGGGCCAGTCTTGCCAGACTCTAGGGTTGTGCGCTCATCTCACTCTATAGGCCGGGAGCCAGCGCTGTCCGCAGACACTTCCGGGTCACGTGGCCAGCGTGACAAGCTGCATCTGGCGAGCCAGCGCAGCACACGGAACACCGTTTACCTTCCCGCTGGTAAGCGGTCCCTATTTATCTACTTGCACCTGAAGGTGCTTTCGAACTGCTAGGTTGGCAGGCGCTGGGACCGAACGACGGGAGCGCACCCCGCCGCAGGGAATCGAACCACCGACCTTTCGATCGGCAAGTCCTAGGCGCTGAGGCTTTAACCCACAGCGCCACCCGTGTCCCCCAGTAGCACCTTAGAGACTAACTAAGTTTGTTCTTAGTATAAGCTTTCGTGTGCATGCTTATACCAAGAACAAACTGGTTCACCAGAAGCGGCTTAGTCATGCTGGCCACATGGCCCGGAAGCTGTCTGCGGGCAAACCCCAGCTCCCTTGGCCAGTAAAGCGAGATGAGCGCCACAACCCCAGAGTCGTCCGCGACTGGACTTAACGGTCAGGGGTCCCTTTACCTTTACCTTTAAGGTGCTACTGGACAATTTGCTGTTTATATCGGTCCTTTCCCTCCTTCAGTGGGTCTTTAAGCATTGCTCCAAAGGAGATACTGTGCTCTTTCTGCAGGCCTTTCCACAAGGAAGCTGTTAGGTGTTGTGCTATATGGCCTCCTCTTCCTTCCCTTGTGTGTTGCGATGAGTTGTGTGTAGTATAAAGGGTGTGATTGGTGGGTGCTGGCAGTGCTTCCAAGGTTTCTGGGACTGTGGCTCTTGTTATTCCATTCTGCGCTTTTTTGGAGCAGTGTGTTTTCCCTTAGTGTTCTGGGCTAGACAAGTGTAAGACATGGCAGACATTTTGCCATTGTAGCGCATATATCTCTCCCCCTGGCATATTAATAGTTAGGATTGCTCTGTAAATATGAGACCTGCATCAGAAAACTAGGCATGTTTAATGTCACTATGATTACTTGTTACCGCAAGCTGCAATGCAACATTTAAAGACAACAGAGCATTGAGAATGTTGTATTTGCTGCTTGTAAGGACAATATTTCACAGTTTACATTAAAAACATATTTGTGAGAAAAGTAATTATCCAAAGATTATTAGAAGTTTGGATATTAAGATTATCTGTTTAATTTTTAATTGGCTTTTTTCAAGATAATTGGGTTTATTCCCACGTGTTTGTGAAAAAGGGGCAATGGGCTAATTGGCTTTGATGACATATATTCTTCAGAAATTATGAAGTAATTCTGACATTCTTAACATTTGTCTGGTTATATAGTTTCTTTTAAAAATATAAACATATTTTGCCAGATATAAATAGCAGGTCATTTACAGTTCCTTGAATGTCCTTCATTATCTCTTACCCTTACTATTTGACACTGAACTGAACACATCTATACTGTGTATTGTCAGTTATTATCTTTTGATACATTTCTGAAGTCAGGTGAAACTTCCATTTTGAACCATGTAAACTTTGAATGATGACATCAGAGTAGAATATTTTGTATTATAGTTTGGTGTATTCTTTTCTTTGGATTCCAATAGTATCTCGCTTGTTTGATTTCACAGCCATTCAAAGTCTTGAAGTGATATTGCTGCATTGAAGTGAATACAACCAGTGTGCAAGATTTTGGAGTGTGTGGCAGTGCTGTTGTGTCAGCTCAGGCAGTCTTGGATGAGACAGGATGTTTAGATCCATTCCATTCTGGCTTACAACCTGGGTTCAGGGAAGAAACTGCCTTGGTTGCTCTTATGGAAACTTATGCTGCCAAACAGATCTGACAAATGTGACCCTATTGTTTCTCTTGGAACCTGGCAGCTTTCTGTGTTAATATTGTTACTTTTACCCCACATGTCCTTGAAAGAGCTCAAGGTAGTTATAAGGTTCACCTCCCACCCCCATTTTATTCTGACAACAACCCTGTTAGGTAGATTAGGCTGAGAGATTGTGACTAACCCAAGGTCACCCAGCGAGCTCCATGGCTGAGTCAGGATTTGAACTTTGGTCCCAGGTTCTAGCTCAGCACCTTACTGCACTACTACACAATACTGGTTATACCATTGACTATGGTATCCTTCTGGACCATGTCCGCAAGATGGGTCTTGGAAGCATGGTGTTACACAGTCCTTCCTAATCGACAGACTCAGAAGATGGTGCTGGGAAGCTTTTGTTCCACCCCTTGGTCACTGACATTTAAGTTCCTGTCTTGTCCCTTGTACTTTTCAACAACTACATGAAACCACTGGGAGTTGGGGGTCACAGTTTCCCCAAAGAGCCAAGTACAGTGGTACCTTGGGATGCATACGGGATCCGTTCCGGAGCTCCGTTCACATCCTGAATAGAACGTAAGACGTGACAGCGCGTCTGCGCATGTGCGGGTCACATTTTGCTGCTTCCGTGCATGCGCGTGACGTTATTTTGAGCGTCTAAGCATGCGCAAGCGGCGAAACCCGGAAGTAACACGCTCTGTTACTTCCGGGTTGCCGCAGAGCACAACCCGAAAGCGCTTAACCTGAAGCACATTCAACCCGAGGTATGACCGTAGATAGTTAGGCTGTGCTCTGGGAATGCCTAAGCCTAGTAGAAGGCAGTTCTGGTTTCCAGAACTGCCTCTTACTAGCTTAGGCATTCTGAACCTTATTGTGCGTCTAAGATCCTAGACTTTACATTGCTATCACATGATAGATTTTATACATGTTGCTGTACGTTGCAGTGTCATAATAACCAATGGCATAATTGGCTCTCTGAAGAAGAGTTGGCAAGTTCATAGGTCATATCTTTCCCTGAGGTTGTCCCTGGTCTCAGACTTTGGAACTCCCTTTCTAGAAAAGCTAGGCTGTCTACCTCCTTTTTGTTCTTCTGGCAGCAGGTGAAGACCGCTTTATTCACACAGGCCTTTGGGAACTGACTTTTTAAGGAAAGCTCTTTTAATATTACTGTGATGTTTTTATAGTTTTTATTAGCTTTATTTTAATAATTTGATTTTATATTATTTAATACAGTTTAATTATTTTAATTATTGTCTTTTATAGGTTTTTTCCTTTTTATATTTCATATGTCTTGTTTTAATTTGTGTAAGCCACCTTGAGTCCTGGTCCAGGAAAAAGGTGGGATGTAAATAAATATAATAGTAATAATGATAGAAGCATTATTTTAATGTCTCCAAACTAATAATATGCATCTGTTGTAGCATCCGGTAATGGACAATTATAGAGAAGGTTATTGGATTGTTGGTGTTGCCTACTTAAGCTGCTCTTCTTATGTTACTATTATAATATTAAAGTTACAGTGTGACCCAGATATCAAAAGTACTTGCATTTAATTCAGCTTCATTTTAGAAACATATACTGACCATAGAGAATGTTATACTTGAAATTTTGATTGAATATTTTATTTTCACTCTGCAGGAAATGGAAAGTAGTGAAACAGAAACTTGTGACTCAACTGATGCCCTGTGTTCTGTAACTTCAGAAAGAAATTGTGGTGTTTCAACTTCTCCCTTGACTTTATGTCAAAGGAATGTAGATACTACAGTACTGAAAAAGTAAGTATGGTCAACCCAGCCTTATCACTTTTTCTTGCATGCCAACATAATGACCAACCCCCCCCCCCTTCCATAAGTAACTATACAACCTTTAGAAGACATCTGTAGGCAGCCCTGTACAGGGAAGTTTTTAATGTTTGGTGTTTTATTATGCTTCTGTGTATGCTGGTAGCCACCCAGAGTGGCTGGGGCAATCCAGTCAGATGGGTGGGGTATAAATAATAAAATGATGATGTTGATGTCATAATACTTAGCAAGAGGTCAAATTCATCTCCTGTTTCCCACCTTCAGCTGTTCCTTCTTTCTTTCTTCACTGCTGTCATGACCCTGGGATCAAATTTCCTTTCTTCAGGGTATGAGTTAGTTAGAAGGGAAATTTTAAGTAGGGCAAGCCCAAGAAGCCCATTTGCAAGATGAGCCTGTGGTACTAGTGCCCCTTCAGAGTCTCAGCGCTCCAGACTTTCTCTGAAGCCATGTGTGGCAAAAGAAACTACTCTTGAGGTGGTGGTGAAAACAAATATTTTTGAAGCATGGTATTATGGGGGGAAAGTGGGCCTTGATTGAGTGGGCTTTTGTGATCTTAGGCTAGGCATACTGCTCCATATAGTCTGGGATTTGGTTTCTAACAGTGGCTAGCCAAATACCGTTAGAAAACTTACAGGAAGGCATGAGGGCAATATTATTTCCATTTTGTTCCTCTTTTCTGAACATGGGTGCCCCATTACTTGTCAGTTGCCAATAGAAGTGACTGTGCGGAGAACGTTTAAGGGGAGCTTGCATGTGTGAAACTGAGGTTAGTCATGGTGTGAGTGGATTGTTAGGGTGACCTTGTAATCAAAACCAAACCAATCGTATGTGTTCCCTGACGAATAATATAGGAGTACAAAGGAATCAAGGTGGCCTGTGAATGTATTGCAAATATGTTTTGTACATAAAATATGTAACTTAAATGATAGCTTTATGAAATGAATACTGTAAGCAATAAAGATGTCTTCATATACAACACTTGTTGGCAAACTGAATACATGTAAATATATTAATCATTTAGGATGTGCATGAACCAGGTATCTTCTGTAGCCAATTGACAGGCACATTTTGACTTAAAAGCCTTTTTCAGTGGCAAATGAATCATTTGCCCTGGGAGGAGGAGGAAGAGTGTGAGGGAGGCCGGCAGAGACAATGTCAGGGCCTGCTTCAGTCAGACTGTCTCCCCCTCTCCCCATTTTACATGTTACATCATTTGTCTTAGCACTTTAAACCTGTAAATCCCCTTGGGTTCCTTGGCAGAAAGGTGGTACATAAATGGAATGAATGAATGAAATAATATTGCACTGCTGTTCTTGACTCGGTGGACTCCATCACATAAGCCCCAGTAGAACCAAAGTCTCTACCATTCTGTCAGAGGAGTTCTTTTTGTTAAAATTTGTACACCACCCTATACCCATAGGTCTCAGGGCGGTTCACAACACAAAGCCACAATATAAATACCACAAAATACATAATAAAAATAGATACGATAAATACAAAGACAACCCAATAACCTCCCCTTCCACAACACATTTAAAAGTGCATTAGATGTCTATCAGCCAAAGGCTTGATTAAAAAGGAATTTTGTCACCTGGTGCCCAAAGGTGTATAATGAAGGCACCAGCCAAACCAGCCTGGGGAGAGCATTCCACAAATGGGGAGCTACTGCAGAAAAGGCCCACTCTCGTGTTGCCACCCTCCAGACCTCTTGTGGAGGAGGCACATGAAGAAGAGCCTCAGATGATCTCAGGGTCTGGGGAGGTTCATATGCAGAGAGGCAGTCCTTGAGGTAATGCAGTCCCAAGCCATTTAAAGCTTTATAGGTCAAAGACAGCACCAGTTAAAGGGATGATGAAGCAGGCTGAGCCCTTTCAACTGAAGAGGTGCCTTTCACTAAAGGTGGAGCTTACAACTGAGACAGTACTGCTCCTTTATAAGAATGAATGTTACTGGCAACATCAGAGCTTTGCTTTCTTACAGCAGGGTTGCCATATTTTGAAGAGCAAAAAAGAGGACACATTTGCCAACTTCCACTTTTAACTACAGATCTCTATGACAGCTTTCATCATGAAAAAGAGGACATGTCCTCAAAAAAGAAGACATATGGCAACCCTAAAATATTGCTTAACACTTGGAGGAACTTGTGAAAACCCATGTTGCATTCTGTATAGAAAGTCTGATACTACAGTGTGGGGGGAAATGGATGTTGCATGTTGTGAATTTGTTTTCATCTTTATCATTCAGCCTTGGCCAGGCCTTACCTTGGATGAGATTGATCTCATCATCAATCTCCTGTTTAGATTTTTGAAATATACTAAGCCTCAACTCTTCCTCTCTCTCTGTCTTTTTACTGTTGAAAGTCATGATCCACTTCCTTTTCCCTGTGCTCTAGCTGCCACTTGTAGCACTCACCAGTGTCTTTCTCATTTCTGAAATTTAAAATCTAGATTCAGTTCAGAAGCCTTGCTGTTTCCTTAAGTATTCTGCTGTGTCACCTTTGGCACAAATGAAGGGGAAAATGCATTATTTCTATCACTGTTGACTATAATAAGATAACCTAAAAATGCTGCATCTGTTGGCTTACACTTAATTTAACAAAATAAATTGTTCTTGGTCTTCTTGAAAAAAAGTAAAGTAAACCTTAATCCTGAACTGAACTCACAAGGCAAACTATACTATTAAGTACATTCCCATGTATGGAATAGGATTATGAAGCCATCCTCTTAATAAATAATCTTAGTGAATAAAGGCAACGAACTACAATAGGAACAGAGAAAAATGCTATATAGATATATTTCAAAACGTTACATACAAACAGATCATCTAAATATCTGGGTAGCTTTTTCATGTGTAATATTTAGGGTATTACTGGTTAAAAGAAATAATTCCCAGCCAGTTCATCTGTTGTAATTGAAAACACCTGAAGGAGAGTAGGATGGGGGTGTCTGCTTTGAAGTTTAAAACCAGCACTTTGAATTGTGCTCAGATATGTATTTGTATTCAGTGGGACTGGTTAAAAACTAGTGTGATCTGTTCTGTCCAGCTAAACTCAATTTCCAAATAGTTTTCCAAAACAGGCTCACACAGAATGTAATACGGTAGTCTAGTCAGTTACTAGCATTAGTATTCTGTACTTTAACTGATTTTAGTTACCCAGTTTAACCAACTGTAGTCATCAGAGTAGTCAGAGCTGCAGTTAGATTCCTGTTTATTTCTAACCTCTTAGCTGAAGATTAAAAAAAGTTCTTTGATACATTCTTTCTCTTTGTAGTAATTCCTTAATATGTCAGATATTCTTTTTTTCCTTCCTCAATTGCCCACCTATTTTGGTCACATTTTCCAGCATGGGTGCATGACTGGATTTCCCACGTTGTCCTAGTTTTGGGATTACTTAAACCCAATATCTGTCCCCCCCCCTCTATTTTTCTTTCAGAAAATACATCTCCCCTAACACAAAGGCATCTGGAAAGACAGAAGAAAAGCAAAGAGAGCCTCTGTTTGGCCCTATGAGTCCCCTGCAATCATCAGTAATACCAAGAAGGTCAGAGCTTCAAGATGGTTCCACACATCAAATAAAATCAGTTCAGAGAAGTGATAGAATATCAGAACTAGTCAGCTACAAATCAAATAGTACAAACAATTTTTCTCTTATATCACCATCCAAGAGAAACAGACCTGTCAGTGCTCCTCCAGGTCAGCTAAGGTAATCAAAGCTGTTCCGTGTTCCTTTTAACTATGACTGTTGCTGTTCTGTCTCCTTTCAACTGACTCAGTGATGATTCAATTGACAACCTCAAACTTACAGTAAAAGACTGCAATCTTTATTTAGATTTTTGATATAATGGTATCACAGTGCAATCCTAAGCTTGTTTACCTAGAGGTAAGTCCCTCTGAGTTCACTGGTATCTAGTCTAGTAGGTGTTCCTAGGGTTGCCATCTTGGTTATTCACAGAACTACTTTAAATGTGATAAATATACCTTATATGAGAAGCTCTTCTATGCAAGTCACACGTAGATTATTATACATAATAGGTCGATATTTTTATACCCATAAAAGGCCAGTTGTGCCAGTCTGGTGAACATGCATGCTCAGAAATAGATCCATATCTGATCAGCAGGCATCAAGTTTATGTACAGTTTGCATATCTTTCCCTTCACTGAAATGCATCATGTATAGGAATATTTATTTTTTATAATAGAGAATGGGATGAAAAAGAGAGACTTATAAACAACATAACATATACATCAGAATTTCTGGAATATGACTACAATGTGGAAGTGAGTTGTGCTGTTGGTGTACATTATATGAAATGATAAAGAAGAATTTCCACAAATTCAGTGTGTACCTCAAGTACATTTCATTTTTTGCATGATACTTGCACTATCTCTTATTCCATGCCAGTAGTGTGACATTTCATCACTGAAAAACAGATGGCAGAATTGTTTTGCTACAGGGACAGACTCTGCTGCTGTTTTATTCTGCCTTTTAAAAATATCTACAATGTTGATAGGTGATAGTGAGGAGCATTTATTGCTCCAACACACACTTTAAAGAAAACAACCACCCTACACGAAATTCAAGGACAGAGTCTTGATATATTTGGGAGGAAAACAGTACTAGGTGAGCACACAAACAGTGGCTTCACACAGTAGGAAGTGCATAGACACCAAGCAAAATTGGAGGAAGAGTATTTCCTTGTCATAGCAGAACAACCTCACTTTCTAGACTCTACACTACAAACAATAAAAGTGCACATTTATTGCACAATAAGCTGGAATGGCACACACAGGTGATTAAAACAACAGGGCTCAACACTAATACTTAAATTGTTGTTATATTGTTTAAATGAATCAGGCTTTGTCTAATTCTATTTGATTTGTTAAAGGTTAAAATGGGAATAAGGCTACAATTCTATACATACTTTTTTCAGAGTATGCCCCATTGAACACAGACTTACTTCTTAGTAAACATAGTCAAATAAGTATAATAGGTGTTTTTTTTATAAAGCAAAGCATCACTTTTCAGTGCTTGCATCAAGAAGACAAAAACCAGTGGAATCTTTATGTATAATTTTATAAGAGCAACTTTACACCTGAGTTTTTTAATTTTTACAGGTGAATTGAATTTGAAGCATTGGTTTACAGTTCTCAATATAGTTAGGAAAAGGGCTTATTATTATGATTTTGTTTTAAAATGCAATAATCACAATTTGAATAATCATTGAGAGAGACTATATTAATTAAATTGTAATTTTTGTATAGGTACTTTCTGTCTAGTTCAGCTGAATTGGAATTGTTTTTCTACAGATCTTCCTTAAAATCCCATTTGGCCCAAAAGGTCCCTGAAGTGCCCATTTTTGAACGACAACCACAGATACTCAGAGTAACAGCTTATAAGAATGGTACAAGAAGCGTGTTTGCTAAAGTTACAGTGCCACTTTCCATTAAACTGGTAAGCATCAATATAATTTCTGTGTAGCCATTTTTGTTTGGATATTGATCTTTGAGTAAAGGAAGCACATTTTCACACTTAAGCGTATACATAGTGTCAGGACTCTTCCCTGACACATAGTTACTGCATTTTTACCTTCAATTATATAACGTAAAACAGAGGCCGTAAAATGTAAAGTAGAATTTGGAGTTTCTGCAGAATCAATACAATTAAATGGTAGCCGAATAATAACATTGATAGGTAATGCTTAGCAATTGGATGTACATATAATGTGTTGAGGGAAATTAGTTAGGATTTGGTTTGTAAGTATTGATTCTTGATTAAATTTTAGTAGTTAGCATGAGTATATTTTTTTCTTATTTTTTCTTACCTTTTTGGGCTGATTTAGCTGCTGGAGAAGTGCACTGGAAGGCTGAAGCTGAATATGGCTGCGCGACGAGTCTTCTTGGCAGACGGCACTGAAGCACTCGATGCTATAGACATACCCCATGATGCTGACGTTTATATTTCAACTGGAGAGCCCTTTTCAGATCCATTCAAAAAAATTAAAGGTAAAAAATGCCAGAGTCAATGGCTTAAGGGGTGCAATTAAAAATGATTTTCATCCTGTCTTTTTGCATGGTTTAACAAAACTAATGTTTACTCATTTACAGCTCAGTAAGAGGATAATGTGCTTAATGAAAGAAAAATCTACTGACAGCCACGTTTTGCCCTTCATTAGCATTGGTGCTTAATTTAATATAGATCTGAATAGACATTAGGGAGCCTGCAGGAGGTTAAATGGTGAAAATATAATAAATTAAATAAGAGATTATTGAATTTACTGTTTAGTTTCACTGACATCTAACAGACACAATTCATTAGGCTTATTACACTAGCAAAAATAATAGTTCAAAGTTTGAGTATTTTATTAATTTAGTCATTTGACCTTTATTAAGACAAAGCATTAAAATAATTATCAGACTGCTGATGCCACAATGTAAAATATTCACGTTGAAGTTACACAGAAATGTATATGTACACCTGTTCTAATATTTCATTTTGAAATTTGAAGCTCTTTTAGCATAATCTCTTATTTTCTCATGTCTCTAATTCTTGTAATATGCTTTCAGGTTTACTTATGAGCGTAGTGTAGAATTTTATATTGCTGCTATTTTCAATTTTGTTGCAAATGGATTTTTATTTGGGCAATATTTTTCTGGACTAAATGACTAGTGCATTTAAATACAAATTTATGTATGAAATTGAAATATGACATATAATATAGCTGGGCTTTATGATCAGAATATAATTGAATAAATATTGTATTAAATATTAGCCAAATAATGTTGCATGTTAAGCTGGAATGCGTTAAGAATCAATCTGTAATGCCACACCATTCAGTAATACGCAACAATTTAAAAATACCAAAGTTGGAAGTAGTGTGTTTTAGAGGAGAAAAGTAAAGTGCTTTCAGTTGATATATTGTTATTGTTTAAAATCTTTTAGAATTGTAGATGTAGTACCATTCAAGAGTTTATATAAAAAATGGAATTGTGTTTTAATGTTGATGAAAAGCAACACAAACATTCATCTTCATGTTTTGTAAAATACATTAATTGCACTGAAAACTGTTTACAAATGGTTTTGCATTCAGTTGACTCAGACAAAAGAAATAGCTGGTTTTGTATTTTAGAAACAGATGACTGTAAGAATAGCAAATTATGCTTAATCACTGGAATTCCTATAAATATCTATAAAAGAAGCATACCATATAAAACTCTAGAATGATGGGAATACTTAAGTTTCCCCCACTAGTTGAACCATATAATATATATCCCTGCAATGTTTTGGAATAAATTATATTTCTTCATAACTCATGAATTATGCATGTAGTGTAGTATTACAGATGATATGACAGTCTTCTTGAATACAGTCCAAATGATCCACTGAGTATGTTTTAGTCTATTAACTCAATAAGGAGAATACATTTAGCCCAAAAAAATATTGTGTCTTTTTTTTGGTTCATGTAGGAATAATGAATTGCCCTGCTGTTCTGACATATAAACAACAATAATCAATATTCACATTGTCGCAACATCTTAGGAGTTACTGAGATAAATCTGATGTTATAGTAATATTCATAGCCAGTGTGATCTTTTATGTAAGGTGCGGTTACTTTTCCAGGCATATTTAATGAATGCTTGTATTTTCCAATTCATCAAGCATTTCTTTCTTTACCTCGACTTCATTCTCATCCAACAAAAACTTCTCTGCTTTGTCTGCATCTTTTGGCTGTGTTTCATCATGACATGCACTGCTGTTCCTTTAGCACCAAAATGTTGGCACACATTACTGAAAATTTCACACCAACTCTTGCTGGATCAGCAAGCTTAACCTACCAAAATCTGGTGTACTGCAATAGTATTTGACTGATAATCAATCTTTTTGCTGCTCGACAGTTGTTTCTGGGACTCAGACTAGAGCAGGTGGCAGATGTGCCTTGTCTTTTGAGAAAAGAAAGAGTAGGTGAGGTTGGGCACAGTGTAGCATATTGTGTGTCCATTAAAAGGGCTCTGCTAGGGTAAGTATTACAGGAAAAAGTCAGCGATGTGCATAGAAGACCCACCAAGAACATCCAATAGGTCTTTTTACAGTCTGGTTTATAAATTAAATGGGATCACAGATTTATCCCAAATGATTTGAATGCATTCTGTAGATGGATTCAACGCAGTCAGTATTTTGTTTTCTGAATTCTGTATGTAAAAACATTTTAACAAGACTGTTACTGCAATATACAATCCAGGAGCATTTACAATAAATATAATTTGTAAAAATCAATAAATTGGTAAGACATGTCACAAGGAGGGCATCCTTTTCTGATACAAAACATAAATAAAAGTGACAGTGTGGGGAGAGTAATTTGTGATTAGATGACCACCACCATCATATATACTAAAAGGAATTCAAGTCTTCCTGTGTTTGTGAAGCTGGAGCTAAAACCACACCAACCACACACAAGAGAGAGGCATCAGTAGACCTGGCTTAACCCCAAGGTTTGGAGATTTACACACACAAAAATATTTAGCTTAGAAAGAAAAAGCTAAGCAATGAGAAAAATTATCCAGACAGCCTATGGAAACTTAATGTCATGGAAAGTTGAGAAACTTAGGTGCAGGGGGAGACTTGAATGTGAAGGGAATTAAATGCAGTAGCTGGAAAAGGAAGAGAAAGAGAAATATATAGATATATAAAGAATGGAAAGAGCCGTCACACTGTCTGGTTAACTGGGAAGCTATTTTTAAATGCCAGAGATAGAGCTGAGAGCTGCCCATCAAATTCAGTGGAGAAATCAAAATCTTCAGTGTAAGTGGGATTGAGCAATAGTATGTCTGCCCTACCGCACCTCCCCTCAAAAAAAACTGAATGAAGAGACAAAAAAAATGGAAATGTCAGCAAAACAACCCAATGGGGACTCAGCCACACTGACTCACTTGGTGGTGGGAAAATGACAATGAGGGAAGGGAAAGAATCAAATGGTGTGCCTGGAAACCTGAATAGAAAGAAAGTCCATGCATTGTACCAATTTTGGTGCAGGGCCTCACTTTTAAAGTTTCTATTCAAGACCTAGTTGCCATAGTGGTGGTGTTGGCGGCGGCATCTGTCTGTCTCAGGAGACAATGGAGGAGTGCACCTTTGGGGTGAAGTCAAACCATTGGAGAGTTACAGTGCCTGCTATGTCTGTAGAGAGATATGTTGCGTTGCAGTTGGAGCAGATGTGCTGCTGTCGATGCGCCATAGTGTTTCTTCTCTCTGCACTCCTCCCAGCAGTCATTCCTTCTCTGTGCTGTGATCCACAACCTGACTGCTTGTCTCCAGGCACTGCCATCTTGCAAGGGATGTCCCTAGCCTTCCTGTCTTGTTTGCAGGCATCTTTGTAACACAGAGTTGGTCTGCCAATGTTCCTGGTGCCTGAAGGCAGCTCCCTGTAGAGCACGTCATTGAGGATCCTGCCATCTTCCATTCTATGGACATGACCAAGTCAGCGTAGATGTCACTGAGACAGGAGTACGAGCATGCTGGGAATGTAGGCTTGGGAGAGCACGTCTTTGTTTGAGACTCTGTCCTGCCATGCGATGCCCAAAATCTTCCTGCTGCAGTGCATGTGACTAAGTACAGTAGCACCTGGGCTTACGTTACACTCGGGTAACGTAAACTTCAGGTTGCAAAAGCAGCAACCCTGGAAGTGTTTCGCTGCATGTGCATGCGCACAAGCGCTCTACCGTGCCGCACGCATGCGCAGAAGCCGTCTCTCCGGTTGTGGAAACCTCGGGATCTGACTGGAGCTCCAGAACGGATCCCATCTGCAACCAGAGGTACCACTGTATATTCATCTAGAAGCCCGTGGATCAAATTTGACCTCTATTTAAAACTCACCAGGTGTCCTTAGGCAAGCTACTATTTTGGCTAGAATTTATTTAAGGGGGTGGGTTGAAAGAGCTTCAGGCATGCACAAGGACTTGGGCACACTCAAGAGAATGGCGGGTCTCCTGTTCATGAAAAGCTGAAACTGACTTTGGGCAATGGAACTTCTTGTCTGGTTTTTTGGATCCTCACCAGTATATTTGAGGAACCTTCAAACTCTAAAATAATAAATGTAAAGCAAATGGGTTAAAGATTACAGAGACTAGATAAGGCCATTGAAGCACACAAGGAAGCTGTTTTTAGAGTTTCATTCTTCCAATTGTACTAGGAATTATGGCATTTTGCCTGTTTTGTTAAAGATTGTCTTGCAGATACGGAGATATAACTAGGCTAGCTCAAGCGGCACTATGTTCTTAGATTAATTTGAATTGGCATTTTCTGTCCCATTTCGACATAGTACATTGGGGATAACATTTCAAAATTTAGTATGATCTTCCACATGTAAAAAGAGTTTATTTTTTTTTTAATTGCTGTGAAATGCCAGCCAGGAAAGAATGTTCATTTAGAGAAATTTTTCAGAAACCCTGAAATAAGCATTGGAATTTCCCTAGCGACCTTGACAACGAACTCTTGAGTGGGCAAGCACAAAAACATGCATGTATTTTAGTTGGAAAAGTCAAAGAGGCTTCTTATACAAGTAAATGCATGTGACTAATGAAGCAATCATGCATGTACCATGAGAATGTTTACAATGCAGAAAGTTGAGTGCAAGTCTAAACACTGTTAACCATCAACTTGAAATAGGAAAATTGATAATGGTGCACCTTTTTATGGTATCTGGTTTAGAGGTATTGAAATATCAAAATAAAATACATTCGAGTGTTTTCCCCACCGATTTTACTTACTGTTAGCTATGAGCTTTTTACACCTTGAAGTTTGCATAAAGAAGACAGTTCCTAAAAGCTGCCCAAAATGTAGTCTTTAGATGCTTCTTGTACCAGATTTTCTTAGTTGCCAGCCTTCTAAAATTAACTTCAGATACTTTTGGTTTAAAATCAAGTGACTTTTGCCCAAGGCTTCATCCTGTCTGCTTTTTATTCAGAAGCCTTTGAATGTGTGTTATGTGTAATAAAGAACTTATAAAATA